CAATTTTTTATAGGTGCGATCACAAGTGTGTGTCTAACGTTCATCTCTCAACATGCAATGGAGTAGATGTAGATAATACTGGTAAATGTCTTAGTCTCTGAGGTTTCCCGTTATATCGGTGACTACATGTATCTGTTCTGAATAGTGTCAAGGTTTATCATATACAAGATTTACTCGTTATCAATTTGAAATTAACCACTTTTGCTTTATTTTTTCAAATTAAAAAAAAAAAAAATACGAACCTACATTTATCTGCTTTAAGTAGTGTCAAGGTTTATCATATACAAGATTTACTCGTTATCAATCTGAAATTAACCACTTTTGCTTTATTTTTTCAAATGCAAATGATTAAGTTTTATTTTTCACACCTCCTCTTTGTTTCAACAGCTATAAAGACAAATATAGATTTGTACCTTTGTTAGGCCCTAGCATCGGTGATGAGCTTTAGAAGGAAAAAATAGCTGCATGATGCAGTGTTTTTCCTTCTAGCATACTTAATCTTTTTCCAATTTTAAAGCTGCATTCATATGAGGGTGCGTAACGTCTATCACTTACGTATTCTTAGATTAAACTTAAAAATAAAACATAATATACAAATATATAATAATTAAGAATTAACCTGCATTTAAATATTCTAAGTTCTATTTCTAGTAATATGAGAAATGAATGATTGGATATGTGCTAGTACATGTAGTTAATCTGGATATATGCTGAGGTCGGGGAAGGATGTGAACAAAGGTAAAACCGTGTTGGTTTTATAGCCCACACATCTAACATTATTTTTCTTGACAGGTTTGTGCAGAACTGATTATCAAGTACTAACGAAATGCGAAACTTGATTTTGCAACACTGTCCAATTAAGCTTTAGTTTTTGAATCCATATCGAGACACAAACTTAAATTTATGTTAAGACATTTTTCGTGGTCGTAGTAATATCTGCATGTATTTAGTGTCTCGCCTCTGGTATCAATTTCCCGTTGACGAGTGTCGTTTTCATTTTTTATGAACGAGAGTGTAGACGTGTGTGTTTCCTTCTTCCCTGTTTTTGACTTTCAGTTAATAGGTTATGGCGATCCCTCTTATCCCATTACTTTGTTTCAGGTTAAATAATATAATTTAGACTAAAAACATATGAATACCCTATACCCTCTTAGGCAGAACATTTTTACGCAGATGTTTATTATGGAAATTCAATTACAAGGACTGACAGAAATGTTTTTAGATCACTTATATTTTATAGAAAAAAAGTAGACGTGCGTGTTCGTTCAATGAATAAACTAGCACATATTAATAACAAGTGCACACATTTCCCGTGATAAAATGCATTATACTGGGTTAGCAGTAAGCGAGATAGCATATGGAACGAGGTGCATTAAAGCAAGATTGTACGGTATCACGTTAATGTGACTAATCACAAATTGATAAAAAAACGATAAGCTTTGCTTTGGGTAAAAGTACATATAGATCAAATTTAATTGTTGCAGAGGGACAATCTAGGTTTTTTTTTCATTCTAGATCTTGTTTCCAATGGACTCCTGGTGCGGTAAGATATTGCGGGCGGTGTTTATCCTTCCATTGATGGCGGGAAATTACCGTAGACGACGGAGTGGATCCTGGTATTATGACTGCACAATCTCGTCCCGTGTTCTGTTCCTGATCGTCCTTTCAATAGTGACAGTGTTCACCGCAAGCAGAGGGATATACACACATACACAAATCCGTTTAGGATTTGTTCTGATTCTTCTGTCGATAATTATGATCTCTGCAGTAATCGGCTTCTGTATCATTGGTTACTTGGTTAATAAGCATGGACTTCGATCCGTTGTTGCAGCAAGACGAGACACAAGAACCCCGAAACTTCAGGTGGTATTTATATGGATGTTTGGTTTGGCGTCGGTATGCTATTGCACTTTCGTCATGTGCAAGCAAATCGAGTGTTCCATAAACTCATCTGGTGGATTATTTTGGAACATACTACTTACATTTAATATCTTATTGGTTGTATGTTTATTCTTGCAAATGATTGTTATAACATACTTTTTACCATACGAACTAAAACCGACTAATCTGGTAAACTTCACCATGTATATGCTATTAATTGCAAACGTTTCCATGCTGTTATATGTTTTTCTAATAAGTAATACATTCGGGTTTATTTGGGATAAAGTACATCACCATAACGTAACCTCCTGCTTAGTAAACAACAGCACAATTTCTCTTCTACTATCAAAATCAAGGCCAATTCTCAAACCAACATTTACAGAATTTTGCCTTTTGTCATGTACGATCCTGCTTGAAATATGGTCGCCTACGAAAGTACACCTTCCCAGCGAGGAAACGAGTGACATTGAAATAAATGATATGCATGAGTCGGAGCGATCACCCCTTCTAACGGCTGTTCCAGTTGAACATCGTTCCAGAAATGAAGGCAGACGAACGGCATGTCAATTGGTGACACAGATTTTGAGCATAGTATTAGGCCTTGCATTTACGGTTTGTTATGTTGCCATAGCGATGGGTATAGGAAACACTGACAATATTCAATATGTCGCTCAAATATATGAATTAACGTTAAAAATTCTGATGATGCTTTCTATCTTTGTAGGATTCTTTTGTCTGGTTAATTACTGTACCCCTGATAATTCATCACAAGCTTTGAAGTCTCGGGAATATGTGTATTTGCTGTCAGCGTTTGGCTTATTCATGTTGCATATCGGCAAAGGTATCGGAGGTGACGTGAGCCCCAATACAACCTCATACACTCTTCTGTTTTACACAAGCATTTTAAGCTTATTCCAAGACTATCTTCAAGTTGTGTTTCTGCTGCACGCAAACCGTTGTAAGAAATCCGACCCTCGTTCAAACATCGATTTACTTGAATCAGTTTTGATACTCACCATGATTAGTAACTTTATTCTCTGGTTAAACGATAGTTTTCTTATATCTGAATTCCAAAATACAAGAATACTACAAAACGAACCGTGGGATTTGATGTATGAATATCTACTGCCCATAGCAGTATTTTATAGATATACTTCTTTCTTAGAATACTATGCAATTTTCGGTCAGTATAATACCTAAATACGTAAACTTTCAAAGTTTGTTTTGATAAATGATACCAACTTTTAACTGAAAGCTGCTTTATGATATATTACTAGAGATGTAATAAGGCTTTTTATTATTGTTATTATTTCATCTTTTCAAGTTTCATTTCTACAAATTGTGAAGCATGTTCAATTGGATAATTCATTGCTATTAACACATGAATATCAACGGGGAAGTATTTCAATTGTGAGAATGTATTAGGTCACCGATTTGTTTCTTGTGACAGCACAATGAGTGGTGATACACTTGATAAACATAAAACAATATCTGATAATTTCAATACTCTGCATACGAAGGATACAATACTTAAAATTGCAGATATTAAGTAACGCTGAAACATCCAGACCCTATAATTCATCTACTCGAGCACAAACTACATCAATGTCAAATGAAGCTTTCTATTTCCTATAAAATGAAAATTGAATTTCAATTATGCTAATAAGTATGACGTTTGGTCACAGTCTATCACCATCTCAGCTTCCGAGCTTTAAACACGTGATCATATTGGGAGTTTGACCTTCATTTTCATGCCAGTTTGGTCGATTAAACAGAAGTTTTTATTATTTTTATGAAGCTAACTCTAATAAAAAAAATTGTTTTAGCCGTTAGTTTCCTTATTTAAGTATTAGGTAAAATAGCAAATTTTTATTTTATAGTTTTTATCATTTTGATGGTTTGGTTAAGACAACGTTTTATATTCTTCTGTCGATAATCATGGCTTCGCAGTATCGGCTTCTGTATCCTTGGTTTCTTGGTAAATAAACATGGCATTCGATCCGTTGTTGCAGCAGGATTAGACTCAAGTACCCCGAAACTTCAAGTGGTATTCATATGGATGTTTCGTCTGGCGTCAGTATGCTATTGTACTTTCGTCATATGCAAGCAAATCGGGTGTTCCATAAACTCATCTGGTGGATTATTTTGGAACATACTACTTACATTTAATGTCTTATTGGTTGTATGTTTATTCTTATAAAATCTTTTTACCATACGAACTAAAGTCGACTAATCTGGTAAACTTCACCATGTTTATGCTATTAATTACAAATGTTTCCATGCTGTTGTATGTTTTTCTAATTAGTTATACATTGGGGTATATTTGGGGAATAGTACATCACTATAACATAACTTCGTGCTTAGTAAAGGGACCGCGGAACCAAACGATTTTCCATAGACGATAGTGTTAACGTTTACCACTGTCCTGGTTAAATGGGGTTATCCACACTGGTTTACCTGACCTCATTTTGAAGAATAGCATCTCACACAACTGTAAAAAAAAAAAAAAAAAAAATTCTGCTAATTTGAATTTTTTTTTAATTTTTTTATACATATTACATCTATATATATTGCTCAACCCACACATAAAACTTTTGAAACTTCTGCCACCTTAATATCCAACCAGCAGGCCCCGAGGCATTCACCTTTCTATTAAATCTTCTGCCCAAAAGGGGAAAACCCACAATCTATTTTTGATTTGGTTCCGTGGTCCCTATAGGATCCCACATATTTTTCAAATTGACCATTTTTGGAAAGAGTCAGGACCATAGGGTATGAAACCAAAATGAGAAGTGGCTGGCTCCAAGGCTTAGGCTGCTAGGTCAAGTCCTCTACTGGTACTGAAGATGGAGATTCCTGCAAGAAAAGACAGGAAAATTGAATCAATTTCAAAATGTTAACTTGAATATCTTAATAAACATTATACTTAGACTTATGGTTTTGAATTTTTATTGAAGTACGGGTATTGTACTACTCAGAAATATAAACATCAAACATTTTGTCTGAAGATCAGGGGATATAACTCAATTTTAATACCTATACCCCCTTAATTTTGGACTTTATGTAAAAAAAATCAGGACACCAGCAATTATTTAGAGAAAAGAGCCAAAAAACAGACATGAAAGTAAAGACTGATAACTGTACAAACAGTACAACACCATAATGA